CTCCTCCTCCACATAGTGTACGTGCACACTTGGAAAAATCGCCTTGCTAGCCCTGGAACATTAAGATGGGTGGCTATGTTGACCCAACCCACCGAATCTGCATGGGTCCACCCGATCAGCTTCACCTCTTCGATGCTCACGATCGTAGGTGTGCCTGCCGGAAGAGAAGGGTTGCTGCACAGCCATTCAGCCTCATCCTTTTCCTCATTTTCACCTCTTCCTTCTGGCCCCCATGGAGCATTGTCCATGCAGGCAGCCAAAGAGGCCGAGTGTGTGAACTTGTCGGACAGGCCATATATGTGCATCAGCCTAAAATATTGCTGGTACTTCCAGCCTGGTGCCGTTTCGCTTTGGTCCACATGTTGACAGCTAAACAACCCTCCTGCTTCTGCGAATCCGAAAGCAGCTCTCATCTGCTCGATGATGGAATTGTAAGGCACAGACTTGATGTGCATGTGGGACACGGCCTCCCTCAAATACACTAGTAGATCCTCATGCTGCTCTTGCCAACTCTCTGCCTGCTGAAGCCCATCGGCATGTCCTATACGGATTTCGATCCGAGCTCCTGCACACTGCACCCTGAACCTTGTTGCTTCAGCCCTCAACCCCAGTCCTTAAACCTTGTGAGTTAACAGGTTTACAGATAGAGATTAAATCCTAAGCTCTATGCTCTAAGCCTGAAGCTCTAAACAATTTCTGGGCAACCCTACAGAGAGACACAGACTACATAGACTACAGAGACTACAGAGACTACAGAGATACAGAGACTACAGAAACTACAGCGACTACAGAGACTACAGAGACTACAGAGATACAGAGACTACAGAGACTACAGAGACTACAAAGATTGCAGAGACTACAGAGACTACAGAGAAGACGGAGAAGACAGAGACCACAAAGACTACAGAGAGACAGACTACAAAGACTACAGGGACTTCAGAGACCACAGAGACTGCAGAGACTACAGAGACTACAGAAGCTACAGAGAGACAAGGAATACAAAGAGACAGAGACTTCAAAGACTTCAAAGACTACAGAAACTACAGAGACTACAAAGACTACAGAGACTACAGAGAAGACGGAGAAGACAGAGACCACAAAGACTACAGAAAGACAGAAACTACAGAGACTACAGAGACTACAGAGACTACAGAGACTGCAAAGACTACAAAGAGACAGAAACTACAGAGACTACAGAGACGACAAAGACTACAAAGACTACAGAAACAGCAGAGGGCCCTGAGCCCTAAGCCCTCAGCTTTCAGTCTAGGAGATGAAACCTAACTGTCTGAAACTCTCGCTGCTCCTGCCACATTTGCTACATCCAGCTGGCTCATGGGCTGCAGTACTTCAAGACACTTGTTGGCTTGATTAGAAAACCAGCCATTGCTGGCTTGCCTCGGAGGTGGAGCATTTGGAAATCCAATGGCAGACATGTGGTGCTTGTAGTTTCCTGGGTATACCACCAGCTTCTGGACGAGGCGGTGACTATGCCCCCCATGCTCACCCCACCATAGCCTTGGCCTGCAGACCCGAACAGCGAGTACTGGTGGATCAAATGGTTGCGAGTGAAATTCACGAAATGAGCACCATCGCTGGGAATCACCAGCCCAACCTGACCATCCAACAAACTCTGGGTGCCATAATCGATTCGTTTATTGCTCCAGGCACTAGCTGCCCTGCCTGCACCAAGCTCTTGGGTCATGGTGGATCTTGCTTCGGTCAGGAGCCCGAACATATCCTCTGCAGGGAGCTTGAAGCCATATCTGCAGATGTAAAGACGATAGTCGGTGGCTGGTCGCACAGCTTCCAAAGCTACAGCAAGTTGTTGGGCTGTGCAACATCTTTCAGACCTGGCTAGAGCTAGAGCTTGCCCTGCCCTGGTGGATGGTGCACTTAGGATGGGTGGCCTGTGGGCCCAGTTGCACTCAGCCATGTCCTCAGGTCTGCAGTGAATTCCCTTAACCAATCCTCGTGTTCCGAAGTGGTCATGGACTCGAAAGCATTTGCCCTCACTCGCAAAACCCATGGCTTGGGTTTTGAAGTTCTTGCATGTATGTCACCAGTTCCTTTACCAGCTGTGTCATTGCTGGCTTTCTTGCCAGGCTGAGGTTTCTTCCCAGCAGTAAGCTGTGGCGACCTGATTCAGATCAGTGCGTTTGTTGTTGAGCATGGCCAACAGCTCTGTAGCGAAAACGGTTTCGCTGGTTTGCTTGCTGCAGGCAATGTGCAGGTCGTGTCCGTGTGCTGCATATCGCAGCCAGTACAATGACCACCCATGGCGTAACAAGGCAACAAGAGGTGCTGTGTGGTTTTGTACACTGTAAGGTTTTGTTGTATGTGTCGTGGGAGGTTTAGTCCAAAAACTTGACGGGTTGTCCCAAAGGTCCGCAGTTCGAAAAAAAGTCGTGTGGAATCAGATGTTGCTGTCAGGGGTGGATGTTGGGGGGGAGGGGGGGGTTGGCTGTTATAGCCAATGCTGGTAGTCCAAGGTGTAGGTGGGGAGGGGGGGAAACGGCAGGGCCTGCAGGGGTGTGTGGATTCAGGGTCGCTTGTGGCGACGGTGTGGGTGTCGGAATTGGGTGTGAGCTTGCGGCGGGTGGTGGTTGGTGGCGGTGGTGTGTTGGGATGGTGGCGCATGCTGTTGATGGATGTGCCCATCATCCCTGTGGCTGCCGCCATGTGCCAGCGGGGTTGTTGTTTCTGATTCATTGTAATGTACCGTTCCAGACTAATGACTTGCTCACTCACTTCATGAACCTTGCTGAGCCGCAGATCAATAATGGTGTATCACTTCATGAGCTCCCAATCCACAGCAGTGCGTACTTGCTACAACAGGTGCCTGTAAGGGCTTGAACGGTTTTTGACAGCAGATAACAGCAGGTCGGCCCAAAATGATGCGTTGTCGGGGAATTGATTTGCAAAGGCGTATGAAGGAGCAACAATCGTAAGATGCTAAGTGATGTTAAGTGATATCAGATAAAACAGCATCATCAATCTCATGCAACAAGGCCTATGCCAGGTGAAAGCCCCATTTGTCCGGCGCCGGGACTATTCCCTTCAATCAAAGCCTCGCGACACATATCGCGGTAATCGATTTTATAGTGTTGGAAGCGGGAAAGCAGCGTGCCAAACACCAGGACTCCTTGCCGGGTCCTGTACTCCTCCGGGTCGCATTATCACCGACGATGTGGATGGTTCGCTCCGACATGGGTCCTAGTTTCGCAGCCCCATACACTGTGACCGAGGGTATCTCCGTCTGCTGGTCCGAGAAACAAACTTTGATGGAGGTAGGCCTCACCATGTTTTTTAGGAGTATGGATCCCAGAGCCTCCATACACACATGTAATCGTAAATTGCTGTGGGGGGTGTGGTTCGGGTGTGCCCAAAGGGCAACCGAGCATCATGTGGACGCCGTCCGAGACTTCAATCACCTTTGAGTTGCGTTAACACAGGCTTCCCGGGTTCCCGATGCGTAGACCGCGTGGGCGAACTCTTTGAGTTCGTTGATGCTGAGGTTGGCAGTTTCCGCCATGCCATGTCTATCAAGGTTGTTGTCAACTCGTGATCTGCTTTCAGGTCGACAGGGTGCGGCCGAGTTCTTGCAGGGGTAGTATCTCGATGTATGGCATCACCATCGTCTGTGGTGGACGCCTGTCCTTGCTGCTGGTGGCCTGGTGGCTCGAGTGGATGGCCCGTCGTTGTGCTGTTGGGTGTCGCGGGGTTGTTGTTGGATCTGGTTGGCAACTCTTCGAACTTGATGCTGGAGCGGTCTTGGGTTGGCTGGTGGCACCGTAGGTGGGGTGGGAGTGGTGCGGGAAGCCGTTGCTGAGTGGAGGTTGTTCTGTAGCTACATTTGTCTTCCTTCGGACCCCGATTCCACATGCCTCCTCGGAGGCTTGAGTAGCTGCGCAGTGCGATGGGACGGTGGCTGGGTGTTGACATGTGTGATGGGCCACGGCGATGTCGACCTGAACTTCTGTCGCGGCGGCTGTGTCGACTATGGCGTCTGGCACGGTGGCTGTGCCGACTATTGCTTCTGGTGCGGCGGTTGTGCCGGCCTTGGCTTTCGGTGCCGGTGCGATGGCGCCTTTCCGGGGTTGTGTCTCGGCTGTCCATACCGACGCTTATGATCGCTCTGCGACGGCCCCTTGGCCCTCTGCAATTGTTGTGTTGCTGTTGGTGGCAAGCTGGTTGAGTCCATCAAGGGGTGGGCGTAGTTGTTGGGTCAGGTGGTGTGGCCGCGGAAGTCGCAGTGCGTCCAATGGATCCTGTGGCGGGATTTGTTGTTGTTTGTGGTGGTGGGTTGGTTTGTGGCACGCGCGTGTGTGAGTGCTGTGGGGTAATGTTGGTTGGGTGGGTGGCAGCAAGCACTGCCACGTTCACGTGCTGTTGCATGATTGCAGGTGGTGCTGCGAAAATGTGGCGGCTTGTTGCATCACTCGCTGTGATGGAGCCATCCAAAGTTCCTGCATAATTTCCGGCTGCAGCATGCCCGGTGACGGGTCGGGCTGCGTCATTGTGTAAATGGCTAGCGATGCTGCTGGAGGCTTGTCCATAGAAGTAAAGGACCGCATAAGTACCATTGATTTTTGGAGTGGTCTGCAATATTCCTCCTCCCAATTGTAGGACAATGCTTGTTCATGTTCCAGTTCTGCGCCTGTGTCAATGCTGGAGCTGTGGGGCAGGTTGCATTGGCATCGTGCCCTGCGCTGAAGGTTCTTGATTGATTCGTGCTCGTTGATCATGACTGTGCTTCCACCTTCAAGCATAGCTTTGTTTGCAGCGTTTGCTTGAAGGCCGCTGCCCCCTGCAATTTTTCTTGCTCCATGCTATATGCAAAAACAAAGGGAGTGACCCCCTGCTCCCATGTGCTAAGGAAGTTCACACACACACACACACCCACCCCAACTGGTTGGGGCCCCGAAATGAGGGGTGGTTGGTGGCAGCTGGCACTGGGGGCTGGCAGTGCGCTGCATGCACTCTGTGGGCTGTCGGGCCTGGAGCTTGCAGCGGCTGTCGGCTGAGGCGAGATTGCCAAGTTCCCCGAGGTCGAAGACACTGGAGCCACAACCTCTGCCGCCGATCGAATGGCCTGGGCACAGCAATCGCTGAGGCTCTCCTCGCCTCCGACGCCCCGGGCCTCGCAGACTTGCTTGAAGGACTCGGTCAACTCGCCGGCCAGGACAAGGACGACCTTCGCACTTCGCCGTGGCCCGGCTCCTCTCCGCCCGGCCCCCGCCTCGCCGTCGCCTTCTTGCTCTTGGAAGCCTGCGTGGAGCCTGCACCGCGGGGCTGCGGCGCTGCTGCTCCGGGTGTAGTTCTTCTTCGGGTGCCCGACATGAGAGCCAGAGCCTCCTTGTGTTTTCCAACCTTCTCTCTGACAATGCAAGACTAAGAGTCTCCGTTGACCTCAGAAGGGTGCCATGGCCTCTGCAAGAAAGCGCGGGTTATGCTTGCGCAAGCGTCGGAATTTCAACCTGGCCAAGAGTGGAGCGCTCCGCTCAGCACAAGAAACCAGAAACTGCTCTCTTGGGCGAATCGCTGGACTGCTTGGAGGCATTTCGATGCTGTGGGAGCGGCTCGTCTGGCTGCTCGGCGATTCGGGAGAAAATGGATCTCAGTGTTGAAACCTTGCAGCAAAAGCCAGCTATGACATAGCCGGCGTTTCAGTTCATTCTCTGAGCGTCCTGCGCACGCTTTCAGCTCATCGTCGGGAAGACCCTGCGCCCGAGGAGATCGCTCGTTCCTCTGAGATGCCTTTAGACTCTGAGTGCGGAACCAGGAGTGCAGCCAGCAAGCTATCCAAAAGCTCATCGTGGACTGGTGCTGCTCCCTTTGGTGAAAGTCCCAGTCACGACGAGCTTCATGTCATGTGAAGATCCTTGATTCCTACGTCCAACCTCTTCTTGCTCGGGCAGCTCGGGCCCGCTGTCGCTTGTACACACAGGCTCGAAGCTGGTGACGGCCTGCCGCACTGCCCGTGCCGGACGGAAACCCCCGCATGCCGAAGGTGCAGTGGAGTTCTCGCCTGCGGTCCGCCGGTGCTGCTCGACATCTCCACAAGCGCAGCCAGGGATGCATCTGCGAGTTGCTGTCGCCTTCGGTCTTTCCACAATCACAAAGCACTGCCTCTTCACCGAGTCTGAGCCACGGACGTGCAATTGGGATTTGTCCGAAAAAGCTGCGACACAGCACCCTGGCCACAGCTTATAACAGGACGGTCCGCCCCAGGGCATGGTGCAGGTTCCGTGCCTGCACCGTGTCCTCAGGAATCGTGGGAAACCTGAATCTGAAAAAGAGCTAGGTACATGGACCCGCTCGCCTCCATCCTAAAAGTGTCCCGCTCCTCTTCTAAAGATGTAACGCGAGCACACACAGTTCTTGTTTCGATGCGGAAACTGATGGCTTGGCCTCGTTTGGTTCGCGACAAGACAGGACCAAGTGATGCTGCTGTGGTGGCCTTGGGCCTCGAGCAGCTCTGGCTGGGCTGGGCTTCGCCCGATCAGTACAAGTGTGCAGCCAGTGTGCAGGGTGAAGGAGAAAGCGGCACTGAGTATCGGGGGTCTTTTGACGCCCAAACACGTGAATTGCGGCAGCTCCCTGATTTTGTTTCCCCGCCGCTCGCATCTTGTAGATGACTCAAAACGGAATCTGTGGATGTCGGGGAAGCCAAAGACAAGGCTGCTCTACGGCTTTAAGCCATCTGCCCCGTTGGTGACCTTGGAGCTCCTGGACCCATGTAGCCACGGTCGCCGCCTCCAACGCAACAAGATGCAACCTTGTCCTCTAGCCCTAGCCTGCGTCGGTCTGCGCCCGTCTCTGGCCTGGAGAACGATACGGCGAGCCGGGGTTCGACATTGACATCGGCATATTCCTCGAGCCACGCATGAAGCAAAAGCAAAAGCGGCCAATGCCATGCTAGAACCATGTTTCCCGAGTAGCGGTAAATTAGCACCGGCTTGAAGCGTGGGACCATTCCTGGGCCGAAAAAACAAACGTGATACCGGTGGAATTGTGCAAAGATTGCCAAGCCTCGGGTTGAAGCTCGCGAAGGGCCTGTTTGGTCCTGACATGGACGCTTTAAGGGCCGCTGAAAAGCGAAGTACCCTCAAGCGGCTCCTGCGCCTTGAGGTGGCCGCCCGATTGGGCCTTGCATTGCAGAAGGTCCTCGCATCTGCTTCGATGCTCCGTTCCCCCATAGATGTTCGAACACACAGCCAAGCCGGTCCCATGATGACGGGAGCTTCGCGGTAGGAGACGGGGGGCACCTCACAACGGATCACACTCTCATTCGAGTTTGCCGACAGCATAAAACGATTCGGATTCCTGATTCGACAGGTGCACAGTGCCTGCAAGGTCTGCATGATGTTGTCGAGCTCCTCCAGTGCTTCCCCACTGCCCCGCGATCGCCCGAACACATCCCGGAAGCTTAGGCTTTGCACCTACCACACTCACTCCCACACCACCTGAGGTGTCTCCTTGATCCGGCAGTGCTTTCGGCATATAAAAAAGTCCTTATCACACCATAGAAAACCGAAGTGAAGGAGTCCTTATCAAGGTCTTGGTTTCGGGTTGCGCGAGTCGTTGCTCGAGACCATTGGATCCGTCGGCAAGATCGGCAAATTGCTTTGCTGGCAGTGAGCCAGAACTTCTCGCCTCTATGTATTTGCAGTATTGCGTGCATGCCCTGCACGCCGGTCATCAGTTCTGACATAGATCACTTCCTGCAGCCAACCAGCGATGCGGTTTTAAGCATCTGGTCGAGGTACGAGGCACGTCACCTGTACGTCTTATGCTCCTCGTTAATGCAACCGCCGGGGTTGCAAACAAACTTCTGTGTACCCTCCGCACAGGTCTGGCACAGGTGCATACTCGAATCATCCAACATTCAAAATCTCACTACAACATCGACAGAAAGACAGTGGTGTTCCCTGATGACGAAGACCCCAACGATCTAGACGTGTAGAACATCGCGTCCAGGGATTTGAAGGGGCGAGCATCTCCACCTGAACTCCTGGCTGAAAGCAACTCGAAGGCCTTGGGGCCTTGATTAACCCTCGGCTCGCAGAAGCGAAACTCCACCATCCTCGTCCGTTGCTCTGCATCGACGTTTGCATCCCAAGAAAAAGCTGTCTTGGAGGCGCTTCTTTAACTCGTTTCCTGAAGTGCCTCGAAGGGCCAATGTATCTCTGCATCACCCTCGACCTAGAACCACCGCCTGGAAATCGGGGTATGAACTTGCAGGGCGTCATGGGCTTTTGTCTTCTCCGCCCCATTTGCCGTGACTCGACTACTCTCCTGCGATCGGACCGAGGCGGACGCGAAGCGCTTACCATTAGTTCTTGGGTTCTCGGGCTTGTGGTGTGTTGTGCAGGGACGGCACTACGGCCTTGACCTAAAAGTTGGTTCTAAGGTTTACGGTGGGTAGGGTTAATAATTAATTTACGCAGTGGCAGGGATGCACACCCTCAGCCGTTTCCGGTGCCTTCTGCACAGCTGCGGCCCCACTCTGCAGCTCGGCGGAGCTCCTGCAGCGGGACAGAAGAGCGAGCGTTGTTCATTTCTCTGGGTTTTGTCTCCAGGGTTCAAGTCGACCCTGCTGAACCCGCTTCGGTTCAAGGGCGATGCGTCTCATACTGACTCATACTAGAACTTTCGTCGACATTGTGTCAGTTGTGAAAGATGAAGATAAACTCCGAGAAGAGTTTAAGGGCTGCGCCGCAAACACCTCAGACCAATTCAGAGAGCAGAGAACACTGAGTACACATCTGAGAATCTGGAGACAAAAGATTCGCATGACGAACTTGAAAGGATCCACCGAGAAGGAAGAGATGCCGTGCTGGTAAAATGCCATGCAGGATGAAAACTCCAAGAAGCCTCCATGTAGCTTGTGCTTAGCTCTCGTATATATAAGGCAACTCTACCTGTAAGTTGCGCTCAGGTGACAGTTCTCGGTGCTGACCTCTGGCACCTAGATTCAATCCGTGTCTTTGCCATTCAAGTATTGAACCGCGGCTCATGAGGTGCTTCTCAGCGAGCTGGCGGTGCTCGTCCAGCGTGCCGTAATGATCGGCCAGGGCACCGCGGCCGCCTCGAAGAGCGAGACTCAGAGACTCAGTGCGGACTGTGACAGAGTGACAGCACATTCACGTCCCCAAATGCCGGACGGCTCCTTCGAACATCTGCTCGAGCATCTGATGCATCTGCCTCGGAGAATGTGCGATTGTGCGCAGATGGCCTGGAGGTGTTCTTCGTCTGAGCGCTCGGCTGCTTCATGGGTTCATTTCCACTGTGCTTCTGCCCCACTTCCTGTGGTGAATGAACAAGGACAGGTGCCAAATGAAGCCTGTTTAGTATGCCCTCGCTGGACTCCTGGGCCTTTCCAACCAGAACGCTTGTGTTGCTGCAGATGTTGTCCTGCAGCTTCGAGCATCGTGCTGCTCGAGGCGGCTGACAGTTGCACGTGCCACGCCCAGTCCAGCATGTTGTGATAGCTCTTCCTTGGCACAAAAAGACGAACGAAGGCAAGAAGGCGTGCTGCCCTCTGCAAAACTTTTCTTGGACCCCAAGTGCTGGCCGGTCGTCTCCTTCCCCAGCTGAAAAGCCAGTAGGTCAGCGCACCGGGCCAGCTCCCCACGGTACATGGTGATGTCCTCTAAGACTCTAAGAAGCCGCCGAACACAAGGCTGCCGGACTAAAGCCGGCTCAGTCCTGTGTCATCTGCGCCACCTCACGCTCAAACTCGACACAAAGCTGGTCCACCACCTCTAATCAAGACGGGCCAACCGGCCAACAACTTTGCCAACAAAAGGCAGCGGCGCCTGCATGCAGAAGCTGCGGAAGGCGTTGACCTTGGGAGTGTGGTCCATGGTCGCTTGGGACATCCTGACAAGCGGGTTGCATCGAAATGGAGCCTTGCGCCTCTAAGACTCATCGTACGGTCGTGTCTTGCCTCGGCAGATGGCTGTTGAGCACAGCAGAGGCTGAGTGGTGGCTTGGACCAAATGGCTCAAATGTCGCACCCTTCAGCTCATCTGAATGGCAACATGTCGTGTCTTGACTCGCTTTGCACCTCATGACTGTACTATGTTGTACCTGAGATCTGAAGATGAAAGAACCGGCAAGTGGCATCTCAGCGAGCCGGTGTGCGATGCCGGTTACGCCACCAGTCGTGCAAGTGTGGCCGATCACGGCTCGGTCCTGGACGAATGACGAAAGCGCGCGGTTCGACTGCTGCGGGCTCAAGGCACCTGCACGGGCTTCCGCCGATCGGCCGTTGCGCGGAGTTCATCTCGCCTTGGCATTTTGAGGCTACCTGGAGATTCGTTGCAATGTGTTTTTTGCTGTGTTAGGGGGGGGCCTTGCAACAGTAAACCAGTTGTTGATGTCGATGTACTCATGAGTATGAAAATTGTTCGAGACCGGCAGGATCTGAGAAGAGTGCAGCCCCATTGTGTATTGTGTTTCCCGTTCCCAAGCTGTCAACTTAGATCCGGCCGTCTGCGGGTGCTCTCGGAGACTTTCGACGCCACTGCGGTAGCTCAAACATGCTCAAGCTGCCTTCGAGTAAAATGCCTTTTTCCCAAAAGCCGTTCGGCGGTTGGGTTCTTCTCTAGATTTGCCAGTCACGCAGGAGCAAAACCGCTTAGAGTCTTCGGCATCCAACGGGCCCACGGGAGTTCGACGCGGGGCGGGATCGTTTATTGGCGCTCCAGGGCGGCTCGCGATACGGGGTTCCACCGCAGGTCGCGTTACCTCGAAAATCGGCGCTCTAACGTGCTGCAGCCACATTCAGTCCACCCTAGGGTCCACCCTAGGCTGGCGCCGAAAACATCCGCGACGCCTTAATTCGGCGCTCGAACTCAGTGAAACCTCCATTCGCTCCACCCCCAACCTGACGCCGAAATGCGGCGCTCGAATGCACTATATACACTGACGCGTAGATTCGGTCCACCCCCACCCTGCTGCTGAGGCCAACAACAACAACGACGACAACGAAACGACAACGACAACGGCAGCGACGACGACAACAATTTCAATTGGACGCTGCGCGAGC